TCATATAGTGAAACTAAAATAAATTGTTAGCTAGCTGATGAGGCTTTCATTTATTTCCCAATTAATTTGGTGATCAAGCTGAAGCTGGGTTTCCCAAGTCGTTCGGTCCATGCTAACTGCTCATGACATGCTTGCTAAACAGATGGCTCTGTAGAGAATCTGTGTGATGTCACGCACTCAAGAAGGCTCAACCAATCACCCGCAGGGTTCTATGTCGAGACTCATGAATATTCATAAAATTGCCCCTGCCTTCCTACGGAAGGAAATTTCGCAGACCGTATTTCCAACTTGAAATTCTGAGTTTTTCTCAGTCGGAGCTCGTTTTTGTCTTGAACACACTGAAATCTGGGATTTCAGTTGTTTTGAACACAAGACAAGTACTGTACAGTCCTCCCACCCAACCATAGAGAAAGGGAAGTCATTTTGTGTACACAGACAGACGCGTCGGACAGGAGCTCGAGAGGCAGTTTTCATGTAGATGACTAGGAAGAGACCTGGCTGACGACTGTGGCAGCATGGAGAGGCCAGAGATAGCTAGACTAGTAAATTGGGCTAAGGAACAGAAGGTGGGTATTGGAGAAAGGCCATCAGTGCGTGTTCTGCAAACAGTACAGGGGGATGAAGGCACGGCATGAGAGTGGTGAACGGATAGACGTGGTTATGGACAGCGAGGAAGGAGAAGAGCCGAGTGTAGTGGGAAGATGTATGTTGAGGAAGAATGGCGCCAAGTACAAACCATATTCTGCTGTCTGATGGCTCAGAAATTGAACCTGACGAGAGTGAGGATGAATTACCTGTGGTGGTAGGTGTGGTGAAGACCTCAGAGTCTCTGCCCGATGTTCATGCAAAGGATGATTCAGGCTCAGTGGGAGTGACATTTATGGAGAAAGTGGAGCCCCTGCCTTTTGGCTGATCCATATGTAGTCTCAGGCTGGGTAAAAAATAAGTTTGGTACAGTTCGGTGAAGGTAGCTCGAAGTGGACTTCTGATGATTTTCTGTATTTCTTCCGTCCAGAAGGAGCGGGCACTTCACGTTACGTCACTAGGGACATGACCTGTGACATGCTTTGCTCTCCGGAGCAGGGTGCACTGAAAGCAGTGATTACTGGGGTGGTGTTGAGGTAGAGCAATTGAAGTTGAAAATTCCATGTCTGTGACGCCCACTGTTTGGTGCGACTGTAACAGTGTTGCTTCTGTCCCTCTCCTCACCCCTACCTGGGCTTGAACCAGGGACCCTCTGCACACATCGACAACAGTCACCCTCGAAGCACCGTTACCCGTCTAACAACTACTTCAAACAACTACTTCAAGGTCTCAGAGCGAGTGACGTCACCGATTGAAACACTACTAGTGCGCACCGCTAACTAGCTAGCCATTTCACACTGGTTACATGACACAGACCCGGTGGTGAAACTGAGAAGACACTGTCTGTCCTTTTTTAGTTTTGAAGCAGTCTTTACCTGATAAAGTCATGTTAGGATATGTCAGTTATCCAGTGAGAGCTTTTGTGCTGAATCCACTAAGGTGTTTCAGACTCCAAGCTGATCATGTTGCAGCAGTGTGTAGGAGGTAGATTCCAAAATGTGAGAAGTGTGCAGGAGTGCATGGGACAAAGGAGCGTGTAGGACAGGGGTGTCAAACTCATTTTAGCTCAGGGGCCACATGGAGGAAAATCTATTCCCAAGTGGGCCGGACCGGAAAAATCATGGTATATATAACTTAAAAACAACAACTTCAGATTGTTTTTTAATACGATCAACATAAAACATAAAGCTGGAGCCTGAGGACAGTGTGTCCAAAATAGTACAAGCACAACATCACTATTAATCATAAAACACGTCAAGTTTATTTGAAAATTCTAAAGAAAAAGAACACACAAACACACAATGTCTCAGTGATTAACAGAACTGTTTCACAGATCACAGAACTATATCAGGGTGTCATTTCTCAGGCAGAAATGTAGATAAAAATAATGAAATCCTGTTCCCCAAACAAGTGCAAGAACCACAGAGTCAAGAATAGGTTAAATATACAAATAAAATAAAAACAATTAAAAACAATAGCACATCAACATAAAAACATATAAACATAAAGCTGGAGCCTGATGACAGTGTGTCCAAAAGCACAACATCACTATTAATCATAAAACACCTCAAGTTATTTGAAAGTTCTGAGGACAAAGAACACACAAACACACAATGCCTCAGTGATTCACAGAAGTATATCACAGATCACAGAACTATATCAGGATGTCTCATGCAGCACTTTAAGTGGGGTTGCATAGTTTATTTGACTCCTGATACCTGGCATCTTTTAGCTTTCACCAGCGCATCAATATCAGGCGTCACATCCTGAGTGGCAGCCAACTTCAGGATGTGATTCAAGTGCTTGTGCGTGAGCCTTGAGCGCAGCTTTGTTTTATTTATGCTCATTACAGAGAAAACTTGCTCACAAAGATATGTGGTTCCAAACATGCACAACAGTTTTGCAGCGAGGGCTGTCAAGTTGGGGTAACCTGGCAAGAGATTCTGATAAAATGTGTCCAAGCCAGCTGCGGCAAATTTGCCCTTCAAATCTGAGTCACACTGCAAGTCTATTATTTCAAGTTGGATGCTGACGGGCAGATCAGAGGGATTCACGGTGAATGGCGAGCAAAAAACGTTGAAGTCTTTCTCCAGTTCACCAAAAATCTGAAAGCGTTGCTCAAACTCCCGTAACAGTCCCGTTATTTTATCTTTGAACCGCTTCATGTCTGCCACATGAAGGGTCGCGCACACATTTTTCAGACAGGGGAAGTGAGCTGCATCACCACCGGCGAGTTGCGTCTCCCACAATGACAGCTTCAACTTGAAAGAACGTATGCTGTCATAATACTGCGTGACAACTTTGTTGCGCCCTTGCAGCTGTTTGTTCAAGTTATTCAGGTGCTCTGTAACATCCACCATAAATGCAAGGTCCTGCATCCATTCTGCGGAATGAAATTCTAACACTGGTTTGCCCTTTTCTTCCATGAACTGTTCAATTTCTTCTCGTAAATCAAAGAAACGCCTCAGCACAGCACCTCGGCTTAACCATCTTACCTCAGTGTGGTATGGCAGGCCATAGATGTGGTCTTTCTCTCTGAGAAGGCTGTCAAACTGACGGTGATTCAGGCTTCTGGATCGGATGAAATTAACAGTTTGGATGACCACCTTCATGACGTTATCCATCTTTAATGACTTGCAACACAAAGCCTCCTGGTGCAAAATACAGTGAAAAGTCAAAAAATCACGTCCTCCATTTGCAGATTGCACTTTCTCTCTGAACTTTGTCACAACGCCTGCTTTTTTCCCGATCATTGAGGGCGCACCATCTGTAGCCAGGCTGACAGCGCGGGACCAGTCCACTCCGACCCTGTCCAGCGTGCCGACGAGTGCGGTAAAAATATCAGCTGCTGTAGTTGTATCTGTCATCGGCACCAACTCCACGAACTCCTCGGTGACGGTCAATGTGTCATCAACTCCGCGGATGAAAAATGGCCAGTTGTGCAACATCTGTAATGTCCGTGCTTTCATCAATTGCAACCGAAAACGCAATAAATGACTTTACTTTTTGCTTCAACTGGCTGTCCAAATCCACTGAAAGATCGGAAATCCTGTCTGCAACTGTGTTTCTTGTCAGGCTGATATTTACAAAAGCCTGACGCTTTTCAGGGCACACAATCTCCGCTGCCTTCATCATGCATGTTTTTACAAATTCACCCTCACTTAATGGTTTTGAAGCCACTGCGATTTCATTAGCAATGAGGTAGCTAGCTTTCACTGCAGCGTCACTGATGTCTCGGCTGTGAGTAAACACAGACTGCTGTTTCTTCAGACCCGCCAACAGTTCATTCACCTTCTCTCTTCTCCGCTGTCCTTGAAAGTTGTCATATTTGTCGGCATGAAGACTCACATAGTGGCGACGAAGGTTATATTCTTTCAGCACTGCAACATGCTGTGAACACACCAAACATACAGCTTTCCCATTCAATTCCGTGAATAAATAGGAGGATGACCATTTTTCTTGGAACACTGCACTCTGCGTCCACTTTTCTCTTTTTTGACAGAGACATATTGGGGCAATGAGGGTGCCAAAGCACATAATGTTAAAAGTAGAAGCCGTAATAAATATCGCGGGCAAAACAAAGTAGCTCATCCGGACTGGCTGCACGTGCTTGACCTACTTGCTCTGCCCCGGTATAAACAGTTTGCTTGCTTAACACAATTGCTATTGCGCCATCCAGTGGACGCAATTGGAACAGCAGTTTATTTTATTGAAAAATTGCAGCGCATTTTTATACTTTACAAAATCATCTCGCGGGCCGGATTAAACCCGTTTGACACCCCTGGAGGTGGATAAAAATGTGTGTGTCAATTGTCGGAGTGACCATGTTGCTGGGGATCAGAAGTGCCCGTTGCGAGAGACAGGTTGAGGGAGTAGAACAGGTGTCCTATACTGAGGCAGTGAAGAGAGTAGAGGATGATGGGTCAAGGGTGAGTTGTAGGCCTAGGCCGATACAGAGTAATACGAATTTGTGCTTCAGTAAGGTTGGCTTCTTAGCATTGGTTATCAACTGTACCACAGAAATGGAACGTTAATCACAGAAAATAGATGTTGTGGTGGCAGCTGCAGAAAAGTAGTTGGGTGTACAAGGTTTTACTGCATAAGAGTTACATGGTGTGTTGAACGAAATAGTCCCATCCTCCCAGGCCGTCTGCCTGGTGTAAGATCAGTTAAATTAGTGGAATGGGGTGGTGATAAAAATTAAACAAAAATTAAATAGTGGTATATAGGTGTAGGGTTAGTTGGTGGTGCACAAACAAAGTGTGCAAACGCCATGATACCAAACATGGCTTTTTTATTTTTGAATCACAAAATATAAAGTGATTGACCACACACTACCGAACAGTAGGTGGCGGCATGCACAAACAAAGTGTGCGAACGCCATGATACCGAAGAAGAAGCATTCAGCAACAAACATGGCTGATACAGAGGGAGCAGAGGAAACTTCTCCAGGAATTTTGCAAGAAATGTTCACGTCCCCGTTGAATTTGAGTCTGCTTGGCCTCTGCATATTTATTTTGTACAAAATCTTTCGCGGAGACACGCCTGCAGATATGGGAGAGGTTGAGGAACCTCTGCCTAAACTCAAGAAAAGAGATTTCACGTTAGTGGAGCTACAACCGTACGATGGTCTGCAAAATCCAAGAATTCTTATGGCTGTCAATTCAAAGGTGTTCGACGTTACTAGAGGAAAGAAATTCTACGGGCCAGGTAAAATTAGTTGTAGGCTATTTGTGTTCATGTGGAGCAACGACTTAGCTATTTCCGCTCAAAAGAATGGTTGGCGCAACTGTCTGTAGCCAACTGGCTTGCTGGTTAGTCAGTTTTATTCTTACACTTGTTACTTTGTGTCTATTGAATTATGTGTATTTTTTGTATTTCGAAGTTGTTGCATTGGAACTACGACCATATAAACGCCACACCCCCTTCTTCTTCATGAATCACCCGCAATCGAATTTCACAACACGCGATCTGGCGTGTTCAGCCGAGTTGGCAATGTCATGTAACCTCTCACCAAGTTGATTGATCCTACACTGTCACGCAACCACCGAAGAACACGAACGCCCTCCCTTAAAATATGTAGAAATTGCATATATTCTCAGTCTGTGTTATGAAGTGTGTGATTCAGTTGCCTTCATGCCATTTCAAAATAAATAGTTTGACACAGGTGAATGCCTTGCACAAAGGTTGAATGTTCAATTCAGCAAGACCACATGGTTGCACAAAGGCTTGTTGAGGCCTATTGGAAAGCAATACTAACTCTCATTTCAAGGATTCAGTCTGTCCCTTCTGTCAGTCTCAACATCTAGAAAATAGGACTTGTTGTTGTGGGGCTTATCTTTGAAGCCGTCATAGAATACAGTAAGCTACTGTATGTATGTTGGAGAGCATGTGGAATTTAATTTGCAGATAAATAAAACTGCATATTTTTATAAAATAGTAGTCATCACCCTGACAGTTTGTTATAACCTGTGTCTATTCACAATCACATTTTTAGTTTATAAAATATTTGGCTGAATATCAAATCGATCTCTGTGTCTGTGTGTGATGTTTTCCAGAGGGTCCCTATGGAGTGTTTGCTGGTAAAGATGCCTCCAGGGGCCTGGCCACCTTCTGTCTGGAGAAGGAGGCCCTGAAAGACACCCATGATGACCTCTCGGACCTCAACGCCATGCAACAGGAAAGCCTCAATGAATGGGAGACCCAGTTCACTCGTGAGTTGATGCAGGAGTTGGTAGTTGCTACAAAACACAATTGTCTACATTCGGATACTTTCTTTTCAACTTCTACCTAAAGGGAAATGGACCGCTTGCAGTGAACATCACACGCACCCACTATCCACTCAACAGTGCAAGTTGTTGATGCACCAAACAGCTTTGATGACTCTTAGAACTATTGATGTTTAAAATGTATGTCTATTATGTGCCTCAGGGCATAACTAGTCTTGTGGTGGTCCAGTCTTTTTGTGCTTTAGTCAACTACTCTGTGTTCCTCTGTTGTATGACTTGGCAATGATAGAAGAGTTGGCTACATCACATACAATGATATGGTACCATGCCAGGGGATAACGTAATACAACTTTGCATCTAAATTAATCTGTTTGATACACTTTCATCTACATTACATTGAGTAGTGCTGTAAATTTAAACCCACACATGGAAGTCTTTCTTGGCCAAGTCTGTTCTCCACCCAGTAATTACCATGTCCTTGAGTTTATCTCCGATGTTGTCTGGTGAAGGTCCCTGAGGGCCTCAGTAATTTTCTTCTTCTTGCCTTTCACAGAAAAGTATGACTATGTCGGCAAACTTCTGAAACCTGGAGAAGAACCCACAGAGTACACGGATGACGAGGAGGTGAAGGACAAAAAGATGGACTAGAGCGCACAAGGGAAATTCAGATACCTTAATTTTTTCAGGATAATGTGATGCATATTGCCTTGTGTTGCAGCCAATGAGCGAAATGCTTTCTCCTATATGGTGTTTGTATTATGTAATTGTCATGGACCACCTCTTATGCTAATTTCATATGCCTCAGACCTTAATTTACCAAAACCAAGTGGATTTTAGGTTAAGGTTAGTATAATTATTGAATACTGTACTGTCTTTGTAAAGTTATACAGGTAGTATTAGTTGTAATGTAGATGCTGTTGGAGGATCTATTACTGTAGCTCAGTGTTAATTTTGGCTCTCTTCTTTTAGACTTAGTCTTAGTCATTTTGACTAAAATATCATTGTCTTAGTCACACATTTTTGTTATTTGAATAATAATTTAGTCTAGTTATTGTCAAAATGATAGAAACAGTTGGCCATTTTAGTCAACTAAATGCCCTTTCGTTTTAGTCACATCACATTTGTATTGCCTCAACCTATAGGAAACATAAATCACTGACTTCCATGTGCACAAACCTACATAGCCTTGTCCTACCAACATATTTTTCTACATAACATTATATTCCCAACAGCAGAAATATGACAAACATATGGCCGTCACTCAGTCGCGTCATTGCCGTTGTTATCAACGTTCCACTGTCACATTGACGTCCAAAAGTAGAACGGGCTAATGACTGTTTTGCCCAGTGATATAGTCAAGACACTAAACCTCAAGTCCGAATCAAGTCCCCTGTGCTTGAGTCTGAGTCACCAGTGGTCGAGTCCTGGTCCAAGTGCTCAAGTTTGAGTCACTGGATCCACATTAACTCAAAATAAAGTTATTAACCCAGTCAGATATAGTGTAATTGTTTGCTATTTATTTTCCTTTCTTTCTGTGCTATCAAATGTTTGGTAATGTTACCAGGGCCACGTTCAGTTGCGAAACATTCTCGAATGTTGCAAATAGAAATTCTGTGAATAGAGCCAACGTTATTCCTTATTCAACATGTCAGAGTGGCATGTTTGTTCTAGATAGCATATTTTTATCTGAACGTTACACAATGTTGTGACCTGCTGAACACATCCTAGCTTGTTGGCTATAGCTGGGTATTGAGGTAACATGACTGAAGGTGTAGCCTAAACAAAATGGGTGTTTGACGAATATATTAATCACTATTTTTGTTGATGAAATAAACAGCTGTAGCTTGATATGAATATATTTCCTTTTTTGTAATCTTGAGATGACCACATATTTTAAATTACACAAGCTGATAACGTTCTATCACAAATATTTGTGTAATTTTTTTTCTGCACTGGTGTTAGAGTTCCATTACATACATCACATACTCTGACTCTGCAGTTAGTGTGTCTCATGTGCGTTTGAGAAGATAATGCTTGATATACTTAGTCTAGCGTTTACTTTCAGCATGACTTTGTAATAACACAATTGGTCTGAAATTTTCACACTACTAGTGTATGGCTTGCACTGGATGAAGTAGGTTTTTGGATGTTCATACTGTAGCACAATTTCTTTCTAAATGTCAAGTGAAAAAGGGTGCGGCCTGTAACCATTATGTATGGCATGGCAAATACTCCTGGACTCGAATACCGGTAGACACGGGAAGGGAACACTACAAAATCCATTACTAAGGAATGTAATTGTCTGTGATCATGAGACTGATATTTTGTTATGATAAATCTACCCAAATGGATAATCAAACTGTGTAAGACATTTCTTAAGTTTTTTTTGTGTGTGAATGCTGGGCATTGGCAAGATATATTCAGTAAACTAGTGACAAATATTTGAATACAATGCTAGTGAGGTCTTGGTTTATGATAGCATGATCGCACCGAGACCCATGGAGGGTGTAGTTCTTTCTGACGTATATGATTCTGTGCATGGCACTCGGCTGAAATAATATAAGGGGTTTAGGGTACAATTCCGTTACATTATTTACTAATCACAATGTCCTACTTTTCTCTGCAGTGTTGATTTTTTTATGATGTAATTACAAATCCTTTATGGAGGGGTTGCAGATGCGTCACAAATCGCCTAGCAACCACACCAGGCGCCATGTTGGAAGACGAGCACAGAAATAGAATGAATAGAATAGACGGCCCCATTCAAATCAATGATGGCATAATGGGTGGAATAATTATGTGTATGAACCAATTATGTACACTGAGCAAAAATATAAACAGAATATGCAACAGTTTCAAAGATTTTACTGAGTTACAGTTCATATAAGCAAATCAGTCAATTAAAATAAATTCATTACGCCCTAATCTATGGATTTTAAATGACTAGAAATACAGATATGCATCTCTTGGTCACCGATACCTTTAAAAAAAGGTAGGGGCGTGGATCAGAAAACCAGTCAGTATCTGGTGACACCACCATTTGCCTCATGCAGCGCAACACATATTCTTCGCATAGAGTTGATCAGGCTGTTGATTGTGACCTGTGGAATGTTGTCCCACTCTTCAATGGCTGTGCGAAGTTGCTGGATATTGGCAGGAACTGGAACACGCTGTTGTACATGTCGATCCAGAGCATCGCAAACATGCTCAATGGGTGACATGTCTGGTGAGTATGCAGGCCATGGAAGAACTGGGACATTTTCAGGTTCCAGGAACTGTGTACAGATCCTTGCGACACGGGTCCATGCATTATCATGCTGAAACATGAGGTGATGGCGGTGGATGAATGGCACGACAATGGGCCTCAGGATCTCACCACGTTATCTCTGTGCATTCAAATTGCAATCGATAAAATGCAATTGTGTTCGTTGCCCGTAGTTTATGCCTGCCCATACCATAATCCCAACGCCACCAAGGGGCACTCTGTTCACAACGTTGACAACAGCAAACCGCTCACCCACACAACGCCATCTGCCCGGTACAGTTGAAACTGGGATTCATCCGTGAAGAGCACACTTCTCCAGCGTGCCAGTGGCCATTGAAGGTGAGCATTTGCCTACTGAAGTCGGTTACGACGCTGAACTGCAGTCAGGTCAAGACCCTGGTGAGGACGACGAACACGCAGATGAGCTTCCCTGAGACAGTTTCTGATAGTTTGTGCAGAAATTCTTCAGTTGTGCAAACCCACAGTTTCATCAGCTGTCCGGGTGGGTGGTCTCAGACAATCCCGCAGGTGAAGAAGCCAGATGAAGAAGCCAGGCTGGCGTGGTTACACGTGGTCTGCGGTTGTGAGGCCGGTTGGACGTACTGCCATATTCTCTAAAACGAAGTTTGACGCGGCTTATGGTAGAGAAATTAACATTAAATTCTCTGGCAACAGCTCTGTTGAACATGCCTGCAGTCAGCATGCCAATTGCATGCTCCCTCAAAACTTGAGACATCGGTGGCATTGTGTTGTGTGACAAAACTGCACATGTTAGAGTGGCCTTTTATTGTGCCCAGCAAAAGGTGCACCTGTATAATGATCATGCTGTTTAATCAGCTTCTTGATATGCCACACCTGTCAGGTGGATGGATTATCTTGGCAAGGGAGAAATGCTCACTAACAGAGATGTAAACACATTTGTGCACAACATTTGAGAGAAATAAGCTTTTTGTGTGTATCGAACATTTCTGGGATCTTTTATTTCAGCTCATGAAACATGGGGCCAACACTTATTTATAAACCCTAGATTGCTGATGCTGTGTATTGGCCAATGAGAGACTTTGAAGCCACCGGTCGGCCATATTGGCACGCTTTAGAAAAGCAGTCCTCCAAAGGAATGAATGGAAATCTACAGTATTTTATTTAAATGTTTCAAGGACAAAATTACATGTATTTAAGCATTTGTTGTTGTTGTAGTGGGACAGTAACATTAGTACTTTCAAAAAATTAGACTTTAAGGAAATTAATGTAATACATTTTTTCATTTTTTATTTGTATGTTTAACTCATATAATATAATTTTTAAGTATGAATTAAGGTGTCTGTAATAGAATAAACGTGGCAAAAACAAATTAAGACATTAGTAAATGCATTTCTATAGCTTCCAAATTATTTTTTACAACGGTGGGGGAGTGCCAAGATGGAGGCGTGGTGGCTTCAAAACAGCGGCCACTGCTAGTCATCTAGTGTATTTATAAACCATTGGTATAAACCCTAGATGACTGACAGGGGGCGCTCTATTAAAGCCACCGCACAGCCATCTTGAAAAATTATTCCTTAGTTGTTAATTTTCTCGAAATCTAAAGGCACAACCTAGATTCGAGCCATGGCTGCATTCCAAACACATAAAATACACACCCTTCCCCTCAGCCCTCAAATGAAGTGTACACTTCTGATGACGTATCATGACGTAGGATGAGTTGACACTTGCAGGGCAAGGGGCGAGGGAAGAATTAATTAATTTTAAATGGACTACCCTTGCTGGAAATCTGTCATTCGTTCGTCCCACGGTTGTGTTATCAGTCATTGTGGAACCACTGGTAGCTGTTGTGTGTGCTTTAAATGTGCTACAGTCAATTATGATTGCATTTCATATCTTGGCTAGAAGACAACGCATCCACAGACATCGAATGCTAGCCATCCGACAATATCAGGTAAATCGAAAATTACAATGTTTAAGTGTGATGTTACGGAAAGTTGTATGCGTTAGCTAACGTTTCCAAAAGCGAGCCACAGAAAACACTGCTACTCCTACTGCTCTTTCCTCGTCTGATCATGTGTTCTCGCATACCCCGAGAGCATCTGGTCAGCGCGGTGGTGGCACAGGAATCCTCATCTCTCCCATGTGGACATTCTCTCTTTTCCCCCTGACCCATCTGTCTATCTCCTCATTTGAATTCCATGCTGTCACAGTCACTAGCCCATTCAAGCTTAACATCCTTATTATTATTATTATTATCATTTATCGCCCTCCAGGTTCCCTTGGAGAGTTCATCAATGAGCTTGACGCCTTGATAAGTTCCTTTCCTGAGGATTATTCACCCCTCACAGTTCTGGGTGACTTTAACCTCCCTACGTCTGCCTTTGACTCATTTCTCTCTGCA